CCAATTCTTTGATTATAGATTGGCTTATTCATTCGATGGTATCAGACATTGGTGAGAGCTACTTGTCTATGGAGACTACCCAAGATGTTTGGGATGCTGTGGCTACCACCTATTCCCGCAAAGGGAATTTTTTCACAGGCATTTGAGTTACGCCACTCTATTGAGAGTTCTGTTCAGGGGGAGCAGACGGTTCTTCAGTACTTCACCTTCCTCACCAACGGCTGGAAACGCCTTGATCACCTGCAGGACTATAAGCCTGTTTACACTGTTAATTCCGTCGAGTACAAGAAGTTCATTGCACAGGAAAGGTTCTTCAAGTTTTTGGCCGGTCTCAATGTGGAGTATGATCCAGTTCAGAGTTGAGTTCTGAGTATGGACACTTTTCCTTCATTTCAGGAGGCATTTGCCTATGTACAGAATGAGGAGAGTCATCGGTCTGCTATGATGTCCCCTATCTCTACTGATCACTCAACATTACTGTCTACTTCTAGAGATGGCCTCAGCCTGACTCCCATCCCTCTGTTTACCACTAAGGAGTCTGTATTCTGTGATTACTGTAAGAAGCCGCAGCATACTCGTGAGACGTGTTGAAAGCTTCATGGGATTCCATCCGGGGGTCGAGGTGATTGATTTGGTTTTAGAGGAGGTCGGTCAGGCCAATCTAGAGGACGTGGCTCCTCTCCATGGGCTCATCAGTCTAGTGCCGTTGATACACTTGATTCTATTTCTACTTCCGTTGGTCCGACTTCTGATGTCTCTCTGGCATGACTACTCATGAGCTTGAAGATTTTTTGCGTCAATTGCTAGACTGCCAGTCTTCTACTGCTCTCAGTACATCTTCCTCGTCCTTTGCCTGCTCAGATAACTTAGCCTCTTCTCCTTGTGTTTTCCTGTCTTATAAGTCTTTGCCCTGGATTATTGATTCTGGTGCCTCAGATCATATGTTTGGCTCCTTTGACCTTTTCTCTACCTATAAACCCTCTTCAGGACAGGACAAAGTTAGGATTGCAGATGGTACTGTTTCTTCTATTTCTGGGAAAGGTTTAGTCCATGTCACTCCTACTTTACCTCTCTATTCTGTTCTCCATGTTCCCAATTTTTCTGTTAACCTGCTATCCTTGAGTCGTATTACAAAGGATTTGAATTGTAGTGTGACATTTTTTCCTGATCAGTGTCTTTTTCAGGACTTTGTCATGAGAAGGACGATTGGCAGTGGTAGTGCAGAAAATGGTCTACTTCCTGGATCAACCGGACAAGCTTGCTCATTCTTCCACCATGGATCCTACTACCTCCGATGATATATGGCTGTGGCATCGGCATCTTGGGCATCCTTCCTTTTATTTACTTAAGCATTTATTTCCATCTGTTTTTTTAAACAATAATGTGTCTGAATTTCTTTGTGAGTCTTGTCAACTTGGAAAACAACACAGAGCTTCTTTTGCTCCCAGTTTTAATAAAAGTTTAGTTCCTTTCTCATTAATACATTCTAATGTCTGGGATCCTTCTCGTGTTGCGTCTATGAAAGGTCATCGCTTGTTTGTTACATTTATTGATGATTTTTCTCGTACTACTTAGGTGTATCTCATGAAAGACAAGAGTGAGGTTTTCTGTGTGTTCCGCAATTTTCATAAGATGATTTGTACTCAGTTTGGGGCCACTGTCAAAATATTCTGTTCTGATAATGGGGGTGAATACATAGATTTTGGGTTAGGGCACTATTTTTCTACTTATGGCATTATCTATCAGACCTTTTGCACCAATACCTCTCAACAAAATGGGGTGGCGGAACGCAAGAATTGCCATCTTCTTGACATGGCTCGGTGTATGTGTTTTTCTATGAGTGTGCCTCGGTCCTACTAGGGCGACGCTGTTCTCACCGATGCCCATCTTATTAATCGTCTTCCTACCCAGGTCTTGCAAAAACAAGCTCCTCTTCAAGTTCTCCTAGGTTCCCAGTCCTTGTTTTCTATTCCTCCAAAAATATTTGGATGTGTTTGTTTTGTCCATAACCACTCTCCTACTCGTGGTAAGTTGGACCCTCGCTCCCTCAAATGTGTTTTCCTTGGGTACTGTCCTACTCAAAAAGGGTATAAGTGTTACCACCCTCCTTCTTATAAGTGATTTGTGTCCATGGATGTCACATTCTTTGAGTCCCAGTCCTATTTCTTGTCCTCTCCGGTGTCACAGTCCTCCCTTCAGGGGGAGCCTTGGTGTGAAGTGATTCCTATGGTGGAACCAGTTGTTCTTGCACCACCACCTCTTACGGGGACTGCAGAACCCAATGTCATCAAGGATAGGGAAGAACAAGTTTATGTCAGGGACAAAGACAGACAACAAGTTAACTGGATACAAGAGACCACTTTTGCTCCTCCACTGCCATCTCCTGCTTTTGATGAGAGTCCAGGTAACTTTGAATCTCTTGAGTCCATTGATCTTGATGTTCCTATTGCCAAGAGAAAGGGTGTGAGGTTTTGTACTCAACATCTTATTTCAAATTTTGTGTCCTACTCTCATTTGTCGTCCTCATATAGAGCATTTGTGTCCAATATTTCCTCTGTTAGCAATCCAAACCATTTTCAAGATGCTCTTGCTACCTCTGAGTGGAAACTTGCCATGATTGAGGAAATGAAAGCACTTAGGAAGAATAGCACTTGGGAATTGACTGAGTTACCTAAGGGCAAACGACCTGTGGGATGCAAATGTGTGTATACTGTGAAATACAAAGCAGATGGTTCTATTGAGCGTTACAAGGCTAGACTTGTGGCAAAAGGGTTCACTTCGACCTGTGGGATGCAAATGGGTGTATACTGTGAAACACAAAGCAGATGGTTCTATTAAGCGTTACAAGGCTAGACTTGTGGCAAAAAGATTCACTCAGACATATGGCGTAGACTATCGGGAGACCTTTGCACCCGTGGCTAAGATGAATTTAGTCAGAGTGCTTCTCTCGTTAGCAGCTAATCTAGAATGGCCACTTCATCAGTTTGATGTAAAGAATGCTTTTCTCCATGGTGACCTCGAAGAAGAGGTATATATGGACATTTCTTCGGGTTTTGAGGATCATCAGACAGAAGGCCGAGTATGTAGGCTTTGAAAGTCATTATATGGTCTCAAACAGTCTCCGAGAGCTTGGTTTGAGAGATTCACTCAAGCTATGCTTAAATATGGCTTTAAATAGAGTTAGGCAAATCACACCTTGTTTGTGAAACATTTCTCACTTGGTAAGACTACAACACTCATTGTTTATGTAGATGACATAATTCTTACGGGCGATGATAGTGAGGAAATTCCTCTGTTGAAAAAATATTTAGCTAGTGAATTTGAAATCAAAGACTTGGGGAGCTTGAAGTATCTTCTGGGAATTGAAGTTGCTCGCTCCAAGGATGGGATATTTATTTCACAGAGGAAGTATGTGCTTGATCAGTTGAAGGAAACTAGGATGCTTGGCTGCAAGGCCTGTGACACTCCACTGGAACCCAATCAGAAATCGCGGGATGATGAAGGAGGAGTAGCTGTTGACAGGGAGAGCTATCAGCGATTAGTGAGTAAACTCATTTACCTATCTCACTCTAGTCCTGATATTGCTGTTGCTGTCAGTGTGGTTAGCCAGTTTACGCATGCTCCTCATCAGATTCACTTCGAGACTATCATAAAAAATTTGAGGTATTTGAAGTCTGCTCCTGGTAAGGGTCTTTATTTTTCAAAGTATGATCATATTCGTGTGGAAGCCTATACAGATGCTGACTGGGTTGGATCAGTGACTGATAGGAGATCGACTTCTGGATATTGCACCTTTGTTGGAGGCAACCTAGTTACTTGGAGAAGTAAGAAACATAATATGGTTGTCAGGTCAAGTGCAGAAGCTGAGTTTAGAGCTATGGCACAAGGGATGTGTGAGCTTTTATGGATCAAGTTATTGTTGAGTGATGTAGGTATTGATCAGACGGACTCCATGCGGTTATACTGTGATAATAAGGCCGCTATCAATATCGCTCACAATTTGGTTCAACATGACAAGACAAAGCATGTTAAGATTGATCGTCACTTCATTAAGAAGAAACTCACTAGTGGCACAATATGTACTCCCTTTGTGCAGTCTGGTGAACAACTTGCTGACATCCTCACCAAGGGAGTTGGGAGTAAGCCATTTCATGACATCTTAGGCAAGCTGGGCATGAGAAATATCTTCGCATCAGCTTAAGGGGGAGTGTTAGAATAATATATTATGATTTGGGTTATCATTTTGTAATTATTTTATGCCTTAGGGCTTCCTTGTAATTATTAATCTTCATTAATATAAATAGGGAATGATATCCTAATCATTCCCTAATATTGTATTCTCTAAAAATAACAGTGTGTGCCACAAATGCGCATGCACATACATATCACATAAACAACTTTCATAGGTAATGAACCTACATAAATTTTACCCAATGAAATACAATATAATCAAATTAATTCCTTTCTCCTTTTTTATCCTTGTATAGATTAGCTCCACTGGACCCTGACAGTCAATTTGATAACAGAGTTATACATCCATTTGTTAGATTAATTGTCAATCCATCAATGACTAATAATGGCAGAGTTACAAAGTTAATGATTCTGTAATTGTAACATTAAGATAGCCTAGACGCAACACACAAATACACAGATGCGGTATGTAGACAAGCATGTCAATCGAAGTATCAAATGCTTTCCAAAAAAAGAGAAATTACCATGTAGACGGACTTAAGTATCCTGAAGTTTCCTATAGTAGCATGCTTAACACACATTCTTGTATGAATCAATGTGTAGAATATTTATTGCAGATGAAATCACCATGTCCAACAAGGAGCCAACCATCTTCAAATTCCCAATAGCAATGTACTCCAAGGTTATGACGTCTAGTGTGGCAGCTTGTTCTATTCCTCTCATGAATCATTGTAATAGATATCAATATATCAATCAATAATAATACATACAATTTATTCTCTCTCTTTCTCTATACATTATTTCTTACATCACTTCATCAAATAACTCCTGCAACTGTCCTTCAAAATCCGTGGTACCCTCAAAGGGATTCCTTGAGCTATCAAGCAACTTTTTCGACCTGCTATCAATATATAATCTTGTGGTTGATTTTTGAGTGTGAAACATATACACATTTATGTGTTTGAACAAATTGAAAATATGACTCAATGCTGACACTATCCTCTTAGAAGTACATTATACATTAACGTTGTGTTTGGTTGGAGAATTTGAGGAAGGATTTGGAAAGGAAAAGGGAAAAGTTAGATGAAATGTGAATAAAATATACTTACATTTCACCTAATTTCACACACCTTTTCCCTTTCCCTTTCCAATTCTCTCCCCAAATCCCCCAACCAAACACAGCATAAAGGAGAAATTTAGGACATGACAGAGTAGGAGAGTCGCTGTTCATATTGATAGTTCTAGTACTGAAACATTTAGGCAATCGTGTATTATCATCATTTGGCATGTAAATCCAAAAGTTCTAACCTGATGAACATATTCATACAACAATAGAATACCAGAAGATCAATTTCTTAGGCCAGATTCTTCCCAGAGAAGTGAAAATCTTAGAAGGGAAAAGGTAAATATTAATCCACATATGCATACTGTAGGATCAACAAACTCAAGCCAATGCTAAATGGTGGCACGTTCAATAAGTTTAATATATTCTTACCCTTGAGGGTCGTTGTGCCATCTAATTCTAATGAGCCAGCTGACATAGAAATTCTCAAGACACAGCGATAGGAAATGGCTCCACCAGGTATCATGTATAACTTACTGTTACATCCTTTATTTTGGATATGAGACAAACACATTATGCTTTTTTGTAACTGGTCTGGATGCATGTGTAGACACAGTTGACCCATCCTGAAAAGAGCATCCAAATGAACCCAATAGCTGTGCAGTAATCTTCAGATACGATATGAATTCTTACAACACAAGCTATTCCTTGTGAATCATCTAAATGAGAAAAATATAATATAGACATCCACATAGACATTACAATTAACAACAAACAAAGGAACAAATGTGGATGATGGTAAGAAAGTAAAGTAGTGAATAATCTCTAATCCAAAAGTATTCGTAAGTATACGTGAGGTTAAAGTTTTAAACTTTACCTTACCAACACTAGTGTGCATCCAACTTTAACAGGCTAGGCTCAAACTAACAAAACTCCCAAATTATTCTTAAATATCAAAATTGACCAAAAACTTTTGACCAGACAAACAAAATCCCATATACTACCTCAGGTTCTAATATTTTCCACATGCACAGTATACAAGCATTTAAATCATTTCAGAATTTCTCTTGAAATCCCCAAGATCCTAATGTTGTGTTTGGATCTTGGATTTGTGGAAGGAAAGGAGAAAAAGTATATAAAAATTAAATAAAAGAAAAAGAAGCTTATACTTCCCTCAATATTCCCTTCCCTTTTCCTTTCCCTGCACAAATCAAAAATCCAAACACAGCCTTTGACACTCTTTGACTTGAAACTTACTTAAGTACAAAGCTTGTAAATTGTCCCCCACTATATCATAGGTTGAGTTGGAGATTGACAATCATAATATATTCTAAATAATAATAAAAATAAAAGAAAAGAAAAGAAAAAAAGACTAGCAACAAATTTATGAGCCCTTGTACTTGAAGAACGGCCAAACTAAAGAGAGGCGAAAGAAGAGAGGGACTTTAACTCTCTACAAAGGATGGAGGGCACCATAAGCCTTTTGAGAGATTCTTGCTTTGTATTAGAAGTTCTGAGATCTAGCAACATTGTTGCCTAAGATGCACGGACTCACAACATGAACACGTCGACACATCAATTTTTAGAGGATACTGGACACGACACATGGAGGATAGGCACAAAATGTATAATTATATATATTTATTATATAATAATTAAAAATGCAATATAACATTAATCACTAAAGTTTAGAGGAAGAGGGATTAATATGTATAAATCTATATTATTTTTCTTTTATCTTTGTATCATCTAAGTTAATTTGTTCAAACTTAAAACGTGTTTCATATGTGTCTGAATAATGGACACGTGTGTCTCCCAAGTATCTGAAGTGTGTCTAGGTCTAAGAAAATTTTAAAAATAACATGACTCATTTAGACAAATGTCGATGATTGTCAATGTCGAACACGTGTTAGACACAAACATGATAGGGACACACACCTTATTGGACTAGTAATGAAAATTGAGTTGATGACAGGTATAGGTCTTGTGTCACGTCACGCACATCATCCACATTCTTTCACTTGCATTTTTGAAATTTCCACAAATCATGTACTCTCCACCTACTTCACCCACTTAAACCTACTCCACTAAACCTAATCCACTACACCACTACCACCTCACCTACTCCACTAAACCTAACCCACTACACCACTACCACCTCCACTTCACCTACTCCTTACCTACTACACACTCACCCTCTTCTATATATAGGAATCATGAATCATTGTAAAATATATCAAAATACAATCAATCAATAATACAATCATTTATCTTTATACATTAAATTTCTACAATGTGCAATATTTTTCTCCCAATTAACTCTCTTATTCCATTCTATTCAGTTTCTGAACAAATGCCAAACTTCAATTTGTCACAATGGTTCAGTCCTAAACAGTAACATCATCAAATATTTGCAATTCAAATAAGTTCTCAATGCCTAGAACCTGACCAAGCCAAGAAAGAAATTCAAAGGGGAATAAATAATGCCTAAATTCAAAAAAGCATATATATTATATCTCTAGATGGTATTCTGATGCTTCTAAAAAGCTCACAGTTAACAAATTGGATTATAATGGACTGTCGTTGTGAGCCATGGGGAACGAGTCCCCGGCTGTTACGCTCAAATCATAAGCCATAGCCAATGGTTATTCCCTCTCCAACTCCCTGTTTTTCGATCGAAACCCACCAAGGCGATAAAACTTGCCCACGAGGACAAAAATTGTTGGAAAAATTAGATAGGATTTACTGTGAAAGTAAAATACCAAACTACTAATAAAGCAGAAATAACAAATAAATATTATTATTAGAGAGAAAGTTTAGAGAAGCATGTATGGTGGTCAAGGCATGCAGATTGCATAAAGGGGGGAGGAGAGAGATGGTGTTCCATACCTTGATTGAGGAGAGATGATGGAGGAATCTGAAGGAGGGAGGTGCTCTTCTGCAATTGCTTGGGCTGCAGAGTTCTTGATGAAGGGAATTGCTTTTTTATGCAGCTGGATTTCATGAGAAGGAAGGTTCAAATGTACTCTTTGGAGAGCCTCAAAGGCTCTTCAAACCTAGCCAGTGGGGAAGGGCTCTGATAAAATAGCCAGCCTGTTGGAAGGAGAAAAATGAACTGAGGATAGCTAACATACCCAAATCGACTAGAATTGATAATGTCAAAGAAACAATTCATAGATTTTGGATTTGATAACTTGATCAGAATTGTTAATGTCAAAGTAACGATTCATGCCATTGTGGAGGCTCCTGGTGACCGACCAGGTTGATTTCCAGGCCTACTTGAACAGATCTTATTTGGGTGTGGCGTTTATCATTGCTGCTTTAGATAAATGAGATTCTACAAAAATAAGCATTAATTAAAAAGACCACGGCATCTGAAACATACAACCATAAATTCAAAATCCTTGCATGTATATCTATTCATCTAAAGCCAAGCTAAAATGATGGAGATTATCCATAAGAAACGACCACACAAACTGATTGTTACATCTTACAAAATGTCTAAACATATGATATCATCTGTATTTTGAATTGCATCAAGCAACTACAAAGATATTGAATCTGATATATTCTTCTAAATCACATTTGCAACACAGAGTTACTTCCTAAAAGGGATGCAATCCATTACATATCGACTGTACAATACATGGCTCACAAAATTTCATTGTAAAATGATTAAAAAAAAAATGAATGCAGTTCTAGAAAACTTCAATAAAGCAAAAATCATCACTGCCAAACTGAAAGATTGAGTGATACTGCTACAAAAAGGAAGTAAATTCTGTTACATAGATACTGAAAAATTTTAAGTTTTGGGGCCAAATGTAACAGCAAACACATGATCAAGCAAATATGAGTCTAGCATTTAACAAATTTCATTTCCAGGTTCAATGTCAATAATGAGTTTTGCGTTTTGTCAACTATAATTTTCTATAAATCTACCCATAATTTAAAATGTAATTATATGCACCTCACATCAATGATAACCAGAAATATTTGCATTTTAATTACAAAATTTGCTCTCAAGATAACAGTAAAAAAAAAAATTACCACAGTTAGTCTCCTTATACCAACAATCACAGCATGAAGTAAACGATCCAGAAAATTTTACCTTGTGCATTGGACAACTGAGATGATGAATGCCAAAACCAAGAATCACAAGAAAACAAATCTGTGAACTGCTGCCAGGAACACATGAAAACATATTCTGAAAAAACCCTACTTCATCTGCCCCCTCCTAAAAAACAAAAAAAAGAAAGTCTTAGCACACAACAACCAAAAAATAAAAAAATAAAATAAAATAAATTACAAAGCCATTAAATTGTGAAATATAAAATTTTACTACACCTAAATTCTACCATAAGAATAAAAAGCATGTTTCAAAAGGACCTCTCCAACATCAAGTTCGATACAATCAAAATGGGAAAAAAATAGCATGTCTATATATAAGGAAAATGCAAACATATTAGCATGGCTCCCAAACTCTAAAGCAACGGCTCAAATTACCATCCCAAAAATCTACACCCATTAATTAGCACAACAGCTATGAAAAGTAAACAGAAGTTTGTAGATACTTGGGACAAGAGCTAAGTATAAGTATTTGTGCTTCATAGATGAAAACCAACATTGGCCCACCTGAAGTTGATAGGTCCCCAACGCCTGAGGTGGGCAAAAACTTGTATCCCTCACACGTTACTTACAATCATTTCTATAACCTTCTAAAAGGACATATTTTTCTAAAAGCTTAATGACTAGACTCCTTCATGAGTTTCTAGTTAGCACCATCACTTTCCAATAGGGTAAAACTTCTTCCACCATCATAATGACAACCTCTTATTGTAGAGATTTTGTGCCGGTGGCTGAATAATTGCATTTTGGGTGGTTTTAAACTTGGTCATTTGTTAGAAGACCTTATTTATGTTTAGAATCAATTTCTCTCAGTTATGTTCATTTTCAGTTGCTTCGTTCTAGGGGCCGACTTGTCTTTACCTTGCATCAATTTCGTTTCATCGAAGTTTTCTTTTTGCAATTTCAATCTGATACAGCCATTTAAAATGGATGCAAATCCCATTCTATCAATACTGAAAATTGTCTTCAAGACAAAGCTAAGAAGCACGCACACACATGCACAAGGACACAAACAGAACTTTGACATGACAACAAAGAAATTTTCCAACAAAAATTTTTTTTTTGGAGGACATGACATGTGGAGGACACGCAAAATACATAAATTACATATTTATTATATGCTATATATCATGAATTTATGCCATGCATAAGAATATTTAATTCAAAGATAATAACAAAATATAACAGAATACTAATTTTAAAATTCAGATACAATAGAAACATTTGTTTCCTAATTGTCTAAACTAAAGCATGTTTAAGTCTAGAAAATTTTAGAAAATAGTAGGTGGACATGTTTGGATGTGTTTGACAGGTGTCGAGAAGTGTGAGATGAGTGCCATGTTAGTATCTGCCACAATATGCAACCTTTTTAGAAGTGACAAATCTTATATTCCTTTAATGATTAAGTAAGAATAAGGAGATAGGGTCAAAATGAAATTGCTAAGAGTAAATGATAAAGGCCAAGGAATTTCAAGGGTTTTTCTTTTCCATGGTCAACTATGATTTTTCTATAAATCTATGCATCATTTAAAATGAAATTTTATCTACCTCGCATATGATAGCCATATAGAAATGTTTGCACATGTATGACAACGTTCCATATTACATTCCACAATGTTCACCTAAGAAGCATGGACACAAACACCGACACATATGTGCACACAAACAGAGACATGTTGGTTTCAAAAAAATTGGGATACAGCGGGGACATGATAATAATTTTTTTTTTTTGTATATATATTATATTCATAAATAATCAAAATTGACAAAAATTAACACTCCTTTAATAATAATAATAATAATAATTCACTCTACAACCAACTCTTATTGTTTGTATTAGTTATAGATGATCTATGAATTATTTAATCTAAGCAAAAAGTAATAAACATTCAATATTCAACATCCATAAATAGCACTAAAGAAGAAAGGAAAAAAAAATAATTGGTGTGTCCTCAGAGTGTCTCCTAAAAACAAATTAATTAAATAAAAGGATATACCACATGCGTGTCCCCGTGTCCAACACTACAACACTTCTTTTGGAGTGTCAATGCTTCTTAGATGTTCAATACACCAAAAATCTACCATAACAATAAAAGCAGATTTCAAATGATTACAATCAAAAGGGGGGAAGAAAAAGAAAAGGAAATGCTAACATACTACCAACTGCTGTTAGATATAAAAGTATCTTGAATGAGCGTCCCTCCGATATTAACACCCAATTAGCATGATAGCCGTAAAAATCAAATAGAAGTAAAAATATGGATGGGAGAAGAGCCCCATTGCATAACCTTGGGCCCACCCAAGGCTAATAGGTCCCTAACTATAAGACTCTTACATGGCTACGTGGGCCATAGACGAGGCCAGGTCATAGTCTGTTAAATTTGTAGTATTGTTGTGAAAAGCGTGCTTAGGTGAAACCCTTAGCGAGAAGCCACTCAAGTTGACCCTATGGTGCGTATGATGGCTTGAATAGTGAGCCGACACCAAGGTGAGAAAAAATGAGCGCTTTAGGCTTCAGCGCGAGGCGCCTAAAGTGGGCGCTTCTTTTCCCATTGTGTGTTTTTTGATCAACAGATCTACACCATCCATTTTGTTGACTTTTATAATCGTACCAAATGTTTAACACACCTTTTGATAGCCCTAACTATAAATATTTGTGAGCTGTAGCGGAACACCAATGTTTCTACAGAAATGAGAGAAGCACAAAGTCTGAAACCTTCGATGTTGATCACCACACCAACTCCAATCGCAGCAGAGTGAGTTCTTTTCACTTCCGAGCACTTTGTCTTCTTCTTTCTTCGGCCTTTTTATTTTTTTTCTAGAATTCATTTTTTAGGGCATTCTGCAGCCTGGGCAGATTGCAACAGCAAAAGCATAGTGAGTTCTTATTTTTTATAATTTTTGAAACATTGACTTCTTCCTTCAGCCAGAAACTTCTGATTTTTTCTTTTTACTCTTCTCAGAATTCATTTTGATGTAGTCCATTGATGAGAAAAGTGAATGATTTCTGAGAAAAAAATATCATTGATAAGGTACAACTAGTGCATTGATGTTTACAATTTTGAATCATGTGCTGCTATGCTTTTGACCAGCTGGGACCTTGTCCTTTCCATCATTTACAGTTCTGTTGGATCCTCATCAGTTACAGCTTTGATAAGGTGTAATTTTGCTGAATTTATGGTTAATTTGCTCTAGTTTTTACTGGATTGTATTGTTGCTTATCTGGATTGCTATCATTTTTCTGAATTATATCATGGCTTTACTGCTGTAATTTTGCTAGAATAATTAATATTGCTGAATTATTTTTCAAAATGCCCTTAATTTGAATATTTTTAACAATGAGTTGGTTTATTGATATTTAATAATTAATTAGATGTTGCAGTCAGGCAAAAGTAATAGAAAAGATCGGGGATGGCAATATGAACAGATGGTAAATCCCTAAAATTTGTCTAGGTTTGTTCACAACTTTTACAACAAATAAATGAATGGGAGTGTTTACTAGCCAGGTCAAACAACATATTGCTGGTGGTTACAAAAATGTGGCTGCTTGTAAAAGGTGTCCATCTCGTGTAAGCGATGAAATTAGAGACTGTATATCCAAGAAAAGTCAAGCAAAGGAACAATTGAACTTGTTGCCCAATTCTGCTGAGATGGATGCCGATGAGGAAGGATGATGATATTGTTAAGATTAATCAACATGGCAAAAGGCCATTGGTTGCCCCTAGTCAAGGTTCTATTGCCCCTCAGCTCGCTTATAATCTCCAAAAACACTGAATTTTGGAGTAAATGAAAGATCACACTATTCTTATAATACTAATTCTACAGCAAGGGCATGTTGAAAAAAAACATAGTCAGCATTTGGTATTGACTTCTTTCACTTTTATTTTAGCCTCACATCATGATACATTTATCCCAATGAGTCATTCTCAGTGGCGGAGGGAGCAAGAGACGAGGGGGTCACGTAACTTGGATTTTGGATTTTTTGTTTTTTTTGGGTGCAAATATAAAGAAAATATTTTAAATAAAAAAATTATAAAAATATTATTAGAGTGAAATGTCAATGACATTTTAAAAATTATGAGAATAATAATGGTTGTTTTGATTGAAAACGAAGAGACTACTATAAACCATATTATCTATGAAAATTTTATGAAATTTTTTTAATGTAACGATGATGTCATTATTATTGACATGCAAGTATAAATAATCTTACTATAAAGATATGATATTTATTGGATTGTTAGTTACATTTGACATGTGAGGTTCATTCTCTATGTGTTTATTTATTATTAGTTGGTGATATCACATACTAATGATGATGTGGTATTACCATTATATTGAATTTTTAATCAAATTTTATAAAAAATGTAATTTAACATTATATAATTTATTTTAAGACTTATATCTATATTTTTTTATACTGTCCATGATACACTAGTTATAAATAACATTAATTTTTAATTTTTTTATGTTTCTTGAAATCAATCGTAAAAACTTGTGTGAAATATTTTTATAAAAATTTTGGATACTATAATTAATAAATATGCCCTCAATTTTAATTTTCTGGTTCCGGGTCATTCTAGATTTTTTTTAATCTGAAAATTTAATATTTTTTTTGTTTGAGCTCGGCAAAAATGGCCGCGGTGTATAAATAATTACAGAAATAAAAAGAACAAAAGAATGAAAATGCATAGGTACGTAAAAGGATGCTTACACCACCAAACCACCATGGAGAACTTTAATCCAGAAGCTAAGTGAGACTGCACGACAAAATAGAGACCTCCAAGGGAATAATTCCATTCACTAGGTGAGAGTTCCCAGTAGTAACTCGAAGCTTCGTACAGTGAAGAAGAGAAATACAGTCATCTTTAAACTCCGAAATCTTCACACGTTTGTGCGGCAACACGGAAACCCATAATAAACAGAACTTGTCACCACCTAGATGAGCGAAGTGCGGAGGAGTGTCAACATCTCGCACTCCAAAATGTTCTCCATGGTCATGGATAGGGAAATTGCCCACGAACCACTTCGTTGTTAGTAAATCATATCCAACTAGGCTTAGATATCGACTGAATACCAACACAACTTACTGTCAACAGCCAAAGCTGGCCCTATCAACACATTTGTGCCAAAAATTGGGCATATTTTAAACTCTCGTTTTTTCCACTTTTTGGCATTTACTTGGTAGATTTGGAGACCATTCCCAGGTGAACCCACCACAATACATGGATTGGGGAACTCTCCCGCCGCTGAGAATATGCTGTTAACCTTAATGGGATAACTTGAAGGGTCAGGTAGAGATTCCCATTTATTTAGGCTCGGGTCGTAAGCCATGGCCCATGGTTTCTGCCTCTCCAACTCCATGTTTTGAGAATGAGCTGCCGAGC